CCCCAAAACCCCAAAACCCCAACATGCCAATGCTTGATAAAATAGGATTAAATTAAGATTTAAGAAATCAAATAGATGTTTACTGAACAATATCTAATACTCATTTGTAATAAATTATCATCATTTGCTCTATTGCTAGTCTGTTAAATTCTGCTTAAACTTCTTATACTATCCTCTAGTAAAAGCACATATACTTTACTCGTTTATAGTTGATAATGTTGAGGCTGAAATCTCATTTATTTTTCGCTTTTTACTATTATCAGGAACGTTCTTTTTATTTTGAGAAAAGGTATATTATTATTGCCTAAGGTAACTTCTTTTTTTCATCATTTAGTTAAACTATTGGCTAATCTAAAAAGATATATCTAATTAGGGCTGATTATTTTATCTCTATTTGCTTTCATTTTATTAATTCTACCTCTCTGCTTCTATTAAGGGTTTTATCTACTCAATTATCAATTTCGGTGAATTCATAGATTCTGCATTAGTTTATTTACTTTAAGGCTGCTCTTGTAATGCTCTTATTAGATTTTATCTCCTATTACTACACTAGAATTATTTACTTTGTACCTCATTAAGAGAATAGAACTCAGAATCTTCAACAGATTTTTTATCATAATTTACAATTCTATCATCATTCTCGAAATTTTTACAAGTAGAAATATCTTGCTTATTCTCCTAGATTTCATTAGACTCTTATTAACTTTATTCGTTATTATCAATAATTTTTTCATTAATAATATGTAAGCCATTCTCTTTTAACTCTTAATTATCTGAATGATTCTAGTATTATTGCTCCTAATTAGAATTTAATATTTCACTGGTAATTGCTATATCTTATACGCCGGAAATTAATTCTCCAATTTTGGATATATTATGACAATCTTAGTTATTAAAATGCTTACTCTAATTCTAAACTTATTATTAGTTTTATTATTGATCGGGTTGCTTAAAAAGAAAAAAAGGGATTAATTCTAACTCCCTATGAGAATGAGAAGTTTAGGTTGAGAATTAGTCCTCAACTTTAAGATTTTCTTTATATTCTTTTATCATCTCATTCTACTGTTTCTCAAACTCATCATTGTTTTAATATTTTTCATCATCTTGGTTATTATCTATTTCGTCATTTTGTATCTTTCTATTTTTCTTATCAAAGAAAGCTATTTCATCATCAATATTTCTAAGGTAGAAAAACTAAGCCTTCACATTCAGCTTGTGTTCCTTGCTATCAATATGCTCGTAGTATTCCTTGAATTTGTCTCCACAAACAGGACAATACTGATGATTTGCATTAGGCATGGGTTCCTAATGCAAAAATTCTTGTCCTTCAACTTCTGATAAACATATCTTATCTCTTTCCTGGTCAATAGATTTTTTCCTTCTTTTATCGATTTCATCTTAATTCTAAATGTAGTAATCGTACTCCTAAATGGTAGAAATTAAACTTATTGCCGAAGGTGCATTTATTACTAACTTCGGATAATCATATTTTTACTAGATATTCTAATCTTAATTTTCTTACTAATCTCGCTCTAGTTTTAATAGCTCAAATGAGTGGATCATTTATATGTTCATTGGATCTTAAACAGACTCAGAGCTTTCAATTTTTGACTGTTTCTTTGAACTCATTTTTGGCAAATCTTGAATCTTTGATATTACGAAATCCTAGCATTATTTAAATTCCTTTTGTTTAATAGATCTATCTAATTATTTGGCAACTTGCAATTTTTCATTGTGAAATTTAGGTTTTTGACAATATAGAAACATCGCTACTTCCAAGAAATCATCAAAAAGGATTACTCTCTCGTCAATAAATTAGTCTTCTATTTAGCTTTTAGTTTATTATATTTAAGTAATTCCTTTACCCTCTTACTAACTTTATCGGAATCATTTACTTTATGATATTAATATTTGATTAATACTATCATCATTTTTGCTTCTCAAATCAATACACCTTTATTTGAAGTATTAATACTCTCATTCTTCATACATTGAATTATTTCCTCTGATAAGATAATTGACTTCTTTACTAAAACTCAGTTTATTCTGTCCTTTTAATTGGCTTACTAAAAATGAAATTCTTTTTCTCAAATCGATATCTATCTCATCTTCATGAGGTGAATAAAAGGACAAGCCCGCAAAATCTTGTAATTTCTTTAAATTTTACTTATTTCTCAAAGATTAATCAATGATGATCTCATCTAGCTATTTAAATTTCTGTTCTCTGTGATTTGAAGATTATTGCTTCATTTAGACTGTTTAGATATTAAATTTAATTTATAATTTCAAATTTATGAGCAACTACATGAATATTTCTTGGCGGGGTTTTGGGGTTTTGGGG